TATTCAATTACCCTATAATTTATGAAAATCATTTTTAAAAAATGATTCCTAAAGAGGTGCATGAAAAAAACTTAAACAAAACTCACTGCCTTCCAGTTGATTCTGACACATAGTGACTCCCAGTGAGTTTCTGAGGCAGTAAATCTTTACAGAAGTAGATTGCCCCATCTTCCTTCTGCACAGTGGCTAGTGGGTTGGAACCACCAACCTTCTGGTTAGTAGTCAAATGCCTTAGGTACTGTGCCACCAGAGCTTCTTTGGCACTTAAATGGAAGAGGTCGTAACATATGCAATTAATGACTCTTTAAGCACTCAATAGTTAAATTCAACCAAAAAATGATCCTTTTATTTCTAGGAATCATGCCCTATTTGAAAAGGCTGGCACAAAATATCATTTGTGGGCCTTTTCCACTTTCACATTTTCTGGTAAATTTTTAACATCCTGATGAGATCATAAATCCTTCAGAGACTCCTCAGAGCTACTGGAGAATTTTCAAAATCCATAACAAAAGAAAGATTTTTAGGAATGCCTGCAACAAAGCTAACATTTTGTCACGTAACTGAGCATCAATCTCAAATCCATTACTATTAAATAATTCTGACTCATAGTGACCCTATACGACTGAGTGGAACCCATAGTGTTTCCAAAGCTGTAATCTTCACTGAAGCAGACTATCCCATCTTTCTCCCATGGAGCAGCCAGTGAGTTCCAACTGCCAACATTTTGTTTAGCAGCCAAGCACTTAACTACTACACCACCAAGGCTTCTTAACTGAGCACTGCTCCCTTATATTTCTTCTGCTTTGACCTGACAGAGATGCTGGAATTCATCATGATTAATAACAGTTGAAATATTAACTGCAGGAATAATGAACAAGACAAGTATTAACATATATTTAAATGAACCAGTTGTGTTGTTGTTTTTGTGTGCCATCGAGTTGAGTCACCACAACTTATAGCAAGTCCTCCTTGGGTTTCCAAGGCGATATCACTATGGAAGTAAATTGCCCAACCTTCCTTCCAAGGAGTGGCTGGTGAGTTTGAATCACCAGCCTTCTGTTTAGCAGTCAAGTACCTTAGGCACTATACTATCCGAGTTCCTAAATGAAGCAGTGTTGTTGTTGTTGTTGTTATTTGCCATCGAGTCAGCCCCAACTCATAGCGACCCCACCTTGGGTTTCCGAGGCAGTCTCACTACGGATGTAGGAATGCCCAACCTTCCTTCCGAGGAGTAGTTCTTGTTGAAATATTCTCCTCCTTACCCTCTGCCAGGTTTGTATGCCTGATTTTAATCTGTTCCTAAATCTTAAGGTTATGCTTGGAAGAATTTTTTTTTTTAAGTAAATGGATAAGTAATATAGTAGATTCTATCAACTGATCCCTATATCTCCCTGGTCAATATCTTAGTGGAGCGAGTTATTTCTGAAATTCCTCCAAAAAGCCATTCATGCATTTATTTAAGCAGTGTCTGCTGTTGTAT